CTTTTCATGTGTGTCTCTGTCTTCTCTACTTCTCTACCTTATCTAATTTTTCAAGACATAATCCAAATTAGTTTCAAAGTGCCAAATAAAATATTAAACCTATCCAATTACAGTTACATATTCTATTTGATCATTCGTATGTCCTTAACATCCTAGAGGGGATATGTTTCAACAACCTTATGCAGTCTTTTTTATTCTAAAAGTTAATTATTTATTCAATGACCTTGCTAACTTGTCTTCTCACAAGTTATTTGTTAACAATTGCTTTGCTGGTGTATATATTTTGTATTAAAAAAGTAAAAGAGAAGAAAGGTGCTGATAAAAAAAGAGTGAAAAAAAAAATGTTAAGATGAGTATATTTCAAAGCTAAAGGTGTAACGATTTGAAGCCATTAATACATGATAAACGGCCAAAAATGCATATTTTTCGATGTACTTTCATCTCATAACTTGTGTGATTACGGTAGGTTACATGAGATGTTGTAGTGAATTATGCTCATTACGTGCATTCTTATGTGTAGGAGCAAGTTGGACGAAATGTGAACAAAAGAAAGACTTTGCTCGTTCACTCTTGCGTGCACACGAGAGAGTGAACGAGCTATTGAGGAAGAGCTTGGAGAAAAAAAATAGCGAAATATAGCAAAAAGGCTTGAAAGTGCACGAGAGACCTAGAAGAAAAAGAAAAAGAGAAGAACTTTGCTCGTTCACTCTCGCGTGTGCACTAAAGAGTGAACGAGCTATTGAGGAAGAGCTTGGAGAAAAAAAATAGCGAAATATAGCAAAAAGGCTTGAAAGTGCACGAGAGACCTAGAAGAAAAAGAAAAAGAGAAGAACTTTGCTCGTTCACTCTCGCGTGTGCACTAAAGAGTGAACGAGCTAACCTAAAAGGCCTGTTTTGAAGTGGGCTTGTATTATATCACCCCATGCTAACCCTATCCCATATAAATAGTCACTAAACGCACTTTTGAAGGGGGAGGACATGACTTGTGAAGAGAGACGCCACTTATGGAGAGAAATTACAAACAAAAAATATTCAGGAGCAAAGATATCTCTGATTTCTTCATCATTTCTTAGTATTTTCAATTATTCACACTTAAATTTGTTTGATACTATCATGAGGGGCTAAAACCCATAGTTTTGGGGTTGTGTGACGACCCGGTCGGTCGTTTCGAGAGTAATAGTCTCGTTTCCCCATTTCTTGCTTCTTTTGTGTTCTACAGCTATATTATGATATACCGGATTAGGTGGTTCGGGTTCGGAGTGGTTTCAGAGTGAACTGAGACACAATCTCTTATTTGGAAGCTTAAGTTGTAAAATTGACCGGATGTTGACTTATGTGTAAACGATCTCGGGTTTGAATTTTGGTGGTTTCGTTAACTTCGTTAGGTGATTTTGGACTTAAGAGCGGGTCCAGAATGTAATTTGGAGGTCCGTGGTAAAATTAGGCTTGAATTGGCGAAAGTTAGAATTTGGGCGATTTTGGCCGGTAGTGAAAATTTTGTTATCGGGGTCGGATTGGATTTTCGAAAGTTGGAGTTGGTTCGTGGTGTCATTTCTGACTTGTGTGCAAAATTTGAGGTCATTCGGACCTGGTTTAGTAGGTTTCGACATCGTTTGTGTAATTCGGAAGTTTAGAAGTTCTTAGGCTTGAATCCGGGGGTAATTTGGTGTTTTGATATTGTTTTGATTGATTCGAAGGTTCGACTATGTTTATATTATATTATGAGACGTGTTGGTATGTTTGGTTGAGGTCCCTAGGGCTTCGGGGTGAGTTTCAAGTGGTTAACAAATCAATTATGGCCTTTGAGAGATAGCTGATATGCTGGTTTTTGTTGTTGCTGGTTTCCTCTTACGCGTTTGCGAGGCAGGTCTCGCGTTTGCGAAGAGTATCTAGAGATTGAGGAAGGTTGTTCTTCGCGTTCGCGAAGTAAGGGACGCGTTCGCAAAGTTTTAGAAGTAGAGTGCATCGCGGTCGCGGGATGAGTAAGGCGTTCGTGAAGAATAGAAGAGGCAGCTGGGGACCCCATGCATTTGGTCTACGCGTTCGCGGGGGTGAGGTCCCGTTCGTGATGAGAAGGTTCAGCAAAGGTTCGCATCAGCGAGTGGTAGATCACGTTCGCGTAGAATGGAATTTTGGTCAGAGGCAGTTTGTGCTTCGCGAACGCGAGGGTACTTCCGCGTTCGTGAAGAAGGAAATCTGGGCAGGTAGTGTTAAATTCAAAATTAAGGGTTTGAGCCCATTTTTCATATTTTATTGTTAGTTATATGCTCCCTATGTGTTATAGAAAGATTGACTGTAAATCATGCTAGACACCATGTTTAGACTTTATGCCGGTGTTGTTGGGACCCTTAGTGGTCGTTTCTTGCTGTCATTTCACTATTTTTATTTATGTTCCACACTCAGTCATGTTCATGCATTCTTATATCATATCTTAGTCTCTGTTATTCTATTTGATGCATCATATTATTGTTGTTTGGGCTGATTATCTTGATTTCTGACAGCCCGAAAGAATGGAGAGATTGATGACTGAGTGAGGCCGAGGGCCTGATTGTGAGGACAATTATGGGATTGGGCTACACGCCGCAACATGTTTTATTGATTCTGCCATGATTGGCATTGATATAGTGCTTGGGCTGAAGGAGCCTCTCCGGAGTCTGTACACACCCCTAGTGAGTGCAAGTACCTACTAAGTGCGAGTGCCAAGTGCCGAGTCCCGAGTGCTGAGCGATTGTGAGGAATGAGTGGATGTGAAGTTGGAGTGATTGGGAGGACTGAGTGATGATTGCCTGAGAGGCAGTATATGATTTCATTATTAATACACATAGTTGCCTTATGTTCTTGTTTTTGTGAACTGTTGAGAGATATTTTATCTGACATTACGTGAACTTGACTTAAACCAACTGATTTGACTTAAACTCTGGATTGAAAGCATGCCTACACTTTACTAAATTTTATGAAATGAACTGTATTTTCATATCTCGTCACTACTTCTTAGTTCCCTATTTATTTATGTTACTTACTGAGTAGGTGTACTTACGTTACTCCTTGTATCTTGTGTGTAGATCCAGGAGTTGTAGGTCGCGGAGAATGCTAATAGTCCTCGTAGCTGGTTATTAGAGATATCGAGGTAGCTGCCCGATTCGTAGCCTTGCTTTCTTCTTCCCTATCTTTCCTTGAGTTGTATTTTGAATTTCAAACTATGTTAGTCTTATTATTATCGTAATCTTAATGCGTTCTTAATAGATTGATTTCATAGGAATATAGGCGTTAATCTATTTTGAATAGGTGAGTAGTACTTCAGGAGAAGGCTGTGAGAGCAATTGTTCTATTAATTAGCAACCATGAGTGAATTGCATGAAAGAGAGAGCTAACTAGAATACAATAGGATTGATGAATCGATCACAACCCTGGAATATTTATCTCTACTGAATACACAACAACCATTTTACTGCTTGATAATTTAGTTACTACTTAGAATTATTATTTAGTATAATTACACTCTTGAACTCGAATTGGCTCAACTGAATAACAATCTTGGTCAATTTAGTGGATAGTTGATACAAGTCTCTATAGGTTCGACACTCAACTTATCATTTTATTACTTGTACGACAACGTATACTTGTATGTGCGTTTGGAAGCAACAAGTTTTTGGCATCGTTGCCGGGAACTTGAGTATTGACTACTTTCTAGTTTTTGCTTTCATTGTTTATTTCGGCAAGTCTAACGTTACTTGATTGTTGCTCTGATCTTAGGAACATTGATTGACTACACAGGGTCAGAAGCCAGGACAGACTTCAAGGCTTTGACCCCGAACCTGAGAGAAAATTTCACAGGAGGTTGAGGGAAGCAAGGGACAAAAATAATCTCCAGGCACTTGTTCAATTTCCTGTAAACATGGCAGAGGAGCAACATATGGCTGTTCAAGAGGTGGCGATGTCTAACATTGCTAAGGTCACCTCCAGCATTGTGAAGCCCAAAATTACTGGGGAATTTGAGCTGAAACAAAGCATGATCCAGCTACTACATGCGAACAGGCAGTTTATGGATCTTCCACACGAGGATCCACAACAATATATCCTGAACTTCTTGGAGATTAGTGATTCTTATATCACTAACGGAGTCACTCCAGACTATGTGAGGCTCACACTTATCCCATTCTCTCTGATGTGCGAAGCACAGTGATGTCTGAAGGCAAAACCAGCTAATTCTATTACATCATGGAACGAACTGGCAAGGAAATTTTTGGCAAGGTTCTTCCCTTTAGGCACAACTGTAAAGATCAGAAATGAGACAGACGCCTTCAAACACAAAGCAAGGGAGTCTTTATACTCAGATTGGGAGAGGTTCAAGGGGTTGCTAAGAGACTGCCCTCATCACAATCAGACAAATGAAGTGTTAGCTCACGCTTTCACAGAAGAGCTACATCCTGAGAGAAAGATTGCAGTAGATGTTGCAGCTGGAGGTCAAGTATTGGATAAAATCTTTGATGAGATATATGCGTTATTGAACAAATTCTCCAAAAGCAATCCTGATTAGCAAGGAGAGATGGGTAGACACACACTGCAAAAATCTGCAGGGGTTCTCGAGCTAGATGTCGTCTCTGCATTATCAGCGTAGATTTCCAAATTGACCAACCAAGTCAATCAGATGACCTTGGTTATTAACAAGCTCAGCCAATGCAACAAGTTTAATTATTTTGTGAAGTACGTGGAGAGGGTCATATGAGAGACTTATGCCAAGTTAATCCAGAGTCTGTCTATTTTGTGGGTACTACAAATAGGAGCCAGACAAAGCAGTATGGGAACACTTACAATCCCAACTGGAGGAACCACCCAAACTTCTCTTGGGGTGGAAACCAAGGTGCTCAGAATCAATACTGACCACAAGCACCTCAACAACAATATAGACCACCTCAGGCTGAACAATATGAAAACTCAACAAGTCACCTTGAGGAAATGATGAAGAAATTGATAGCTAACTAGCAATCCACACAGCATAGATGATGAAGAAAGTGATGGCTTATCAGCAAGCCCATGCAGCAGAATTGAGAAGTTTGTAGCAACAAATGGGACAACTTGCCAGTGCCCAAAATACTCGACCAATTGGAGCTCTTCCAGCGAAACTGAGGCTAATCCTAAGGCATCTATTAATGTTGTTTCATTCAGAAATGGGAGACAAATAGAAGAAGTCCAATCGAAAAAAGAGAAAATAAGTGACCTTTAATGAGAAGTCGACCACTATAGAGTCAAAATCAAAAGAATCAAAAGAGCCAGAGAAGCCAGCTGAAGAGGCGGTGGCTAAGCAAACCCCACAATTAGTTGCGAGGCCACCACCTCTGTTCCCTCAAAGATTGCAGAAAGTGAAGGATAATGCTGCGTATAAAAAGTTTCTTAATATTTTGAAGTAGGTGCAAATTAATATTCCACTAGCAGACATCCTACAAGAAGTGCCCAAATATGCTAAATACATCAAGGACATAGTGGCAAATAAAAGCAGGTTGACCGAATTTGAGATTGTGGCACTCACTGAGGAATGTAGCTCTAGAATCCAAAGCAAGATACCTCAAAAATTGAAGGATCCAGGTAGTTTCACTATCCAAAGTTTGATTGGTAAGCATGCAGTCGGGCGAGCTTTGTGTGATCATGGAGCGAGCATCAATTTGATGTCGCTATCTGTGTTCAGGCAATTGGGGTTGGGCGAGCCACGCCCAGCAACGGTAATCTTATAGTTGGTTGATCGCTCCCTTGCTTATCCTGAAGGAGTGATTGAAGATGTGTTAGTTCAAGTGGGTTCTTTTTAATATTCCCTATCAATTTCATTATCTTGGACTACAAGCCTGATTAGGAAGTCCCATTAATTTTGGGGCATCCATTCTTAGCCACAGGCCGAGCTATTATTGATGTATGCGAAGGAAAGATGACAATGAGAGTCGGTGATCGAGTGGAGGTATTCAATGTGTATAAGGCACTCAAATTGCCAGCCCACTATGAAGAGCTATCTATGATTTCTGTGGTGGAAAGTGATGTTACATCATTAGTGCCTTATATAAGCCCCATAGATCCTCTTTAACGAGCTTTGACTAGGGATGAAGAAGACCGTGAAGATGAAATGATGGGAGAAATTGATCAAGTACTTGACATGTCTTGCAGTTATGTCCATGGGTTTGGAAAATTTGAGGAGTTGGATAGGCCTGTCACTCTGACCCCTCCTAAGCCATCTATTGAAAAAGCTCCAAAGCTAGAACTTAATCCCCTTCCAGTGCATTTGCGCTATGCTTATTTGGGGAACTCTGAGACATTTTCAGTGATTATCTCATCCATCTTGACTAACATACAAGAAGAAAAATTGCTCAGAGTACTTCACAAGCATAAAAGGCTATTGGGTGGACAACTGCTGACATCAAGGGAATCAGTCCATCGTTTTGCATGCATAAAATATTTCTGGAAGACGGACACCACCCCAGTGTTTAGTAGCAAAGTAGATTAAATCCCATTATGAAAGAAGTCGTGAAGAAGGAAGTAATTAAGTGGCTCGATACAGGTATCATCTTTCCTATCTTTGACAGCAACTTGGTAAGATCAGTGTAATGTGTGCCTAAAAAGGGATGGATGATTGTAGTAGAGAATGAGAAAAATGAGCTAATTCCTACTCGCACCGTAACGGGGTGGAGATTTTGCATTGATTATAGAAGGCTCAACAAAGCAACCCGCAAGGACCACTTTCCACTTCCATTCATTGACCAAATGTTGGACAGATTAGCGGGTCATGAATATTATTGTTTACTTGGTGGTTATTCGGGATACAACCAGATTGTCATATGTCCATAGGATCAGGAGAAGACCATTTTTGCTTGTCCTTATGGCACGTTCGCCTTCAAGCGAATGCTATTTGGTCTTTTGTAATGCACCAACGTCTTTCTAGAGATGCATGATGGCTATTTTCACCTATATGGTAGAAAAATTTGTGAAAGTTTTTATGGATGGTTTTTCAATCTTTCGGTCTTCTTATGATGACTATTTGAAGAATTTGATCAAGGTGTTAGCCCATTGTGAAGAAACAAATCTAGTGTTGAATTGGGAAAAGTGCCATTTTATTGTGCAGGAAGGCATCGTGTTGGGTCACAGAGTGTATAGAAGTGGCATTGAAATTTATAAGGCGAAGGTGGAGGCGTTTGAAAAATTACTTCCATCCATTTCGGTGAATATTTGTGCGGGTTGCTTAAAAAGGATGTAACTTTCAATTTTAATGACGCATGCCTTAAGGCATTTGAAGAGCTTAAAAAGAAGTTGGTGGTTGCACCCATTATTGTGGCACCGGATTGGTCCTTACCATTTGAACTTATGTGTGATGCAAGTGACCATACTATTGGGGCAGTCTAGGCTAGAGGAAATACAAGGTATTTTTTTCTATCTACTATGTGAGTAAGACTCTTGATGATGCACAGCTGAATTACACCACCACTAAAAAGGAGTTGTTATGCATTGTGTGGGCCTTTGAGAAATTTCGGTCATACTTAGTGGGAACAAAAGTCATAGTCCATATCGATCATGAAGCAATCAGGTATCTATTTACAGAAAAAGAACCTAAGGCTAGATTGATGCGATGGGTTTTGTTGGTGCAGGAACTTGATGTAAAAATACAAGATCGAAAGGGCACAGAGAACCAAGTAGCTGATCATCTATCAAGGCTGGAAAATCATGACCATGTGGAGGAGAGTGGACAAATTAAAGAAGCATTTTCCGATGAGAAACTTTTTGCTATCACCCAAGACTCTCCCCAATGGTACGCAAACTATGTGAATTATCTTGTGAGTGTGGTACTTTCTCCTGAAATTAAATTTGAAGCTAGAAAGGGGTTTCTACATGATGTGAACTTCTACTATAGGAATGAACCACATTTGTACAAACAGTGTACTGATCAGTTGATGATGAGATACATTCCAGAAAGGAGGTAGAATTAGTGTTGTATGATTGTCATGAATCACCTTATGGGGGCCATCAAGGAGGCGATAGAACAACTACAAAGGTATTACAATCTGCTTTCTTTTGGCCAACATTATTCAAGGATGCCCATGCATTTGTTAAGAAGTGTGACCAGTGTCAGAGAACATGGAACAATCATAAGGAGGCATGAAATGCCTTTTGAATAACATCCTGGAGGTCGAGATTTTTGATGTGTGGGGAATAAGTTTTATGGGACCATTCCCATTGTCCAAAGGAAACAAATACATTTTTCTAGCAGTTGACTACGTGTCAAAATGGGTAGAGGCGATCGCATTGCCAACAAATGATGCCATGGTGGTAGCTGCATTTGTGAAAAATAACATATTCTCGAGGTTTAGGAATCCACGTGCATTGATTAGTGATGAAGGGATACATTTTTGCAATTGGTTGTTGAATAACCTTCTAGCTAAATATGGAGTCCGCCATAGAGTTGCTACAGCATATCATCCTCAAACAAGTGGACAATTTGAGGTGTCTAACACAGAAATAAAGCAAATCTTAGAGAAGACGGTGAGTGTGAATAGGAAGGATTGGGTTGCAAAGTTCGATGATGTCTTGTGGGCACATAGAACTTCATATAAAACTCCAATTGAGGCATTGCCATATAAGCTTATTTATGGAAAGGCATGTCACATTCCTATTGAACTTGAACATAAAGTGTACTGGGCTATTAAAAATTTGAATATGCACCATGAAGCCGCTGGTGAGAAGAGGCTCTTGCAGTTGAATGAGTTAGATGAGTTCAGGCTGCAATCTATGAAAATGCTAAACTATACAAAGAGAAAACGAAAAGATGACATGACAAGCGTATCAAGTCACGTCACTTCGAGCCAGGACAACAGGTATTATTGTTCAATTCTAGGCTCAAGCTGTTTCCTGGAAAGTTAAAATCGAGATGGTCGGGCCCGTTTGGCCAGGAAATTGAGCTACATGCTTTAAATAGTGAAAGGAAATTTTTAGTGAATGGACACAGAGTAAAGCACTATTCGGGAGGAATAATTGATCATGAGAAGACCAATGTTTTACTCGTTGATGAGTAAGCGAGGCCCTGTGTCGTCCGCGACGTTAAATTAGGTGCTTGTTGGGAGGCAACCCATCTTTACAGCTTTTTTCTATTTTTCTTTTTATTATATTATTTTATAGTGTTTATTTTGATTTTTTTGGATGATAATCATAGGAAACAAAGCCATTGGAAGAGTGAAAAAGCGAGCTTGATGGTGAGAACTAAGTGTGGGGTGCCCACACAAAGAACCATACCTGGGAGAAGTTAGAGTATCCCGTGAGCTACTAATTCTTTTGCCTTTGGCCTACTAGAGAGTCTCTTTTACCCTCTTGTTATTTATAGTGTATATTGAAGATATTGCAAAATTTTAAGTGTGGGTGAGGAGATTATCTGGGTGATTTTCTGTGCTATCTTAGCTTAGTTGTAGTACTTGTTCTGAGTGTAGTAGTTCTAGTTTTAAAAAACCGAAAAAAGTAGAAAAATTAGACTTCTCCCAATGATATATTTCATTCGACAGGTTTCTTGAGAGATTTAAGTCGAAAGAAAAAAGATAAGAAGATTTTCTTTTGTAAGGTATTGTAATAATTCCCCTTGATTTTTCTTTGTGCCGCGGTTCTTTACCAAGGGTGTTGTTTGAACCAGGTGTAGCTAGTTTTATGTTTTTTTAAGAGTTGGAGTCGGTGTGCTATGATTGGAATTGAATTAATATCTCTTGACTTTGTTATGCCTTGAGAATAGTGAGTACTTTGGTTGTGACACTTAGGCTCAGTTTTTACTCTTGTTTAAGTACCTTAAATTGTTTGATCTTAACTTTGCTTAACTGCTTTGACTATAGTGTCTTGATGAGTCCAATCCTGAGTGTGTTATGTGCCGTGTGTGTGAGGTTTGTTTGTGTCAGTTTGTGCATTGAATTTGATATCTAGATCTTGCCCCGTGTGTTTGGAAAGCGAAATAGTAATTTTGTTCAGTCTTGGAAGTGATATAGACATTTCTTTGTTGAGCCAGATATATATATTTTATCAGCCTAATTGTTACGTATCACAGTTATTTCACCTCTCATGAGCAATTGAATCGTAATGAACTTTGTAAAATTTATGGAGGTTGGTTTGGCTTTTTAGTGGAACTAATAAAATAAGGAGAAAAATATACTGTTTGGAAAAAGTAAGAGCCAATTGAATTGAAAAAGAAAGAAAAAAAGGTAGTTGTATTGTGTGAAAAATATTCCTTGATAGTGGTACTCTTGATGTAATTAAGCTTAAAGAATTATGGAGTTACTGTACATTAATGTGAAGGTGGAGTTATGGTTTGACATAAGTGTGGGGTTTTAACTGTTAAAATATATGTATTAAAGTTCTTAGGAAGGTGTAGTCACTGGTATATCTAAATGTATCATACCCGTCCCGCAGCTTACATTACAACCAATTAAAATCCTAAATGATCCTTGACTGAATGAGCTCGATTAGTAGAGTAGTATACTACGGGCAAGCATATGGTTCATCTTTTATGGCGTATGAATGTTGTTTCTGAGAGAGTGAATTCTTTCTATATTGAGTTCCTAATTGTTCTTGAATTTTATGTGTGTGGAACTACTGTCTTTTGTTGTATGAGGGCACTTGATTCATAAAGGAAAGGTAACGTCATTGACCTCTATGTTAGAGTAAGTGAGCGGGTTGTGAAAAATGTGTGGTGCTTGTGAGTCAAATCTTGAGGTGAGGATGTTATACTATTGTGCTTAGTCTATTTTAAATATTCTTGATATGATAAGTTATGAGAACTGCTTAAAAATGTCGTGTTGTTGTAAAGTGTAGAAAGTTGCTCGAGGATGAGCAAGAGTTTATGTGTGGGGTATTGATAAACGACCAAATATTCATATTTTTCGGTATACTTTCATTTCATAACTCGTGTGGTTACGGTAGGTTACATAAGATTGTGTACTAAATTATGCTCATTACGTGCATTCTTACGTGTAGGAGCGAGTTGGACGAAATGTTAGCAAAAGAAGTTAATTCGTGACTAAAAGACCAAAGAAGGACTTTGCTCGTTCACTCTCGCGTGCACACGAGGGAGTGAATGAGCTATTGAGTAAGAGCTTGGAGAAAAAAATAGCGAAGTATAGCAAAAAGACATGGAAGTGCACGAGAGACCTAGAAGAAAAAGAAAAAGAGAAGAACTTTTCTCGTTCACTCTCGCGTGTGCACGAGAGAGTGAACGAGCTAACATAAAAAGGCTGTTTTGAAGTGGGCTTGTATTATTTCACCCCATGCTAACCCTATCCCATATAAATACTCTTTAAACTCATTTTTGAAGGGGGGGGGGACGTGACTTGTGAAGAGAGACGCCGCGTTTGAAGAGAAACTACACACGGGAAACATTCGGGAGCAAGGATATCTACGATTTCTTCATCTTTTCTTAGTATTTTCAATTATCTACACTTATGAATTTGTTTGATACTATCATGAGTGGCTAAAACCCATAGTTCTGGGATTTGGATTTAGCCATGAATATTGTTGTTTGATGTAGACTTAAACTTGATTATTAATTAACCATTATATGGTTGTTTCTTCAATTCTGTGATTAATTGCTTAATTATCTGGCCAGCAGTTAAGTTCGATTTACTATCTATGCTATGCTTGGTGTCACACCTCCTTTTTACACCCGAGGGGGATATAAGGGATTTTTTCCAATTAAAGTGATATAAATCGAAATGAAATTGTTTTATTTAATTTTTAGAGTTGCCATTTGGAATAGTTTATTTGGTGTCCCAAGTCACCGGTTTATTTTTAAATCCCAAATCGAAGAGAATTTTTACTTTATTTAAAAGTCTGCGAAACCAGAAATTCTAGATAAGGAATTTTCCTAACCCGAAAGAAGGTGTTAGGCATTCCCGGGTTCTGTGGTTCGAGCATTGTCGCTTTAACTAATAATAATTTGCCTAATTATCTGATTTACTACACGTTTTAAATCTATTGTGAATTTTAACTTTTGACCGCTTTTAACTATTTACGAAATTATTCTAGAACAAGTTACGATTGTCGTACACTTGTTTGTTTGATACACATTGTGAATCGTGTCACAGGAACCGTACCCACAATCTACAATATATATTTATTAGCATTATTAGAAATTGTGGCCGGGTCACATTAATGTACCCCCAGATTTGGACATTTTGTATCGCAACTACGTCACCGGAACCGTACCCGTAGCTATGATAATTTTATTATAAATGCGCCCAAAGTAAACTACGAATGTTCAAAGTATTTTCTACACTAGTTATGAATATTCAAAGTCTTTTCCACACTAGTTTTTGCATTAATGTGAGGGCCATAGATCATGGAATTCATCTGTGGATGGCACGCCTCAATTTATTTCAAAGAATTTAACTCAACTAAAACAAACTATGGATGTTCATGTTTAAAACTAATTTGAAGTTCAATATAAGGCTACTAATTATATACATGCTTGGGGCATATGTGTTGGACCTTTAATCATTTTGGATAAGGGAATTGGGCTAGCAGTAGCCCATTGGTTACTTGATCAAGGACAAATCAGCGTTGAAGCTGCATTAAGCTCAGAATTTAGCCCAGAAGCAAAAAGAAACTCAAAGGCCTTGACCGGCCTGCTTTTGATCATGACTACCTTGACATAATAAAGAAGAGTTGAAATGATTCAGGCCCTTTAACTCATAATAAAACTGGCCTTTCGTGGGCTTTGGATTTCTAGCCCAATAAAGCCTTGCTAGGCTATGTGACAGATGAGTGAATGCTAGTCTGCCTAAATCGAATTTCAACAAGAACAGTCCAAGAATCACGGGGCATAATATTGCCTTAATTACTTTGCGACTCACCATTAGATTTACCTTTAAGAAATCAGTGAAATCGAAAGAACTCTAAATTTTGACGTCTAATGAATTTTTCAAACCTTGACATGCATCAGTAATAGAGAAATGTT